TTCTCCTTTGTCTTCACAGCCTCTCCTCCTCTCAGTTCTCTTCTGGCTCTCAGTCATCCAGAGATGGTAAGACCTTCCTTTTCATCAGACCTGGGCTCAAGAACACTCCAGGTCCCCGAGCAGGTCTAGGGCATAGATTAAGAGCTTCTCAAAGGGTGGAGCTATAGTGTTCTTACCCAGTATCTGTTAAGAATCCATTTGGGTAGAAGAAGTCATTTTCTAACCCTCTTAGGGCTAGCAGCCTTGACTCCTATCTTATAATTCTCCCACCCTATGTCCAGGCAGACCCCATGGTTATGCGGTCAGCACCATGGACAGCAAACAAGTCTCCTTCCATCCAAAACCCGTCCAGTGGGGTCTATTTGGACTGAAGTAGCTGGGTCTGAATTATTAGGGAGCTTCAGTCTGAGGACACAGACTCTGTCAATGACCTTAAGGAACCCTAGTCTGAAACGATTGGATGGTATCAGTGCTTAGCCAACAGCCGTGAGTGAATGAATGATCAGGGGAGAGGGCAGTAGGGAGATAGTTCATGTAGGTCCCAACTTCTTGGCCTCTCCACTCCTGATTTGTCCACTGCCTGTTCACCTCTGCTAATGCCCTATCTCCTTCTTCCTCAGTGACTTCCTCCAGTCGTCAGATCCGCACCAAGGTCATGGATGTGCACGATGGCAAGGTGGTGTCCACCCACGAGCAGGTCCTTCGCACCAAGAACTGAGGCTGCTCAGCGCGGCTCAGGCCTAGGAAGCCCCCCGTGTGGACACAGATCCACCTGAAGATGCCTTCTCCTGTTCTCCAAACACGTCATACCACACTTGACCCCTGATCCCTCCTGGCAATCAATAAAGCTTCTTTATCTGAGTTGCATAATTCCTGTCTTTGCCTGGTCATTGTTGGGAGTGGGGGTGGGAAGAAGGCCGGGGGAAGCATTGCTTTGGAACCTGTCCTAGCACCTGGCTGTGGCCTCTGGGACTGGGAGAAAGGGCCTGGGGGTGGACTGGGCTCAGGTCCCAGAACGGCTTTCACCATCTCAGAAGATAGAGATAGATGTGTGTACCAGGTCATATGTGGTAATCTCCCAGGGCACAGGGGGACATTCAGTCTTTCATTTGTTCATTTATCTACCAGATATCTGGTGCTTTTAGGTGCTGGGCACTGTGCATGGTCAAGGATTCCTAGCATTTTTTTGTGATTGGAGATTCTTTTGAGAATATATTAGAAACTACAGATATTTTCCCTATACCACAACTTCAGAGAAGCACAAACATTTGCCGACAGTTTATGGGGTTCTGGGTTCCCCAAAGCTCCTCAATAGAGGCCCATGAACCCAAGATAAGGACTTAAGCTCTACTGAGGGGTTTATCTCCTTGCTCTGGAATGAATCCTCCAGGGCCAGCTCTAGTCCTGCCAATACTTAGTTGACCTAGGTCAAGTTAATTACCACCTTGAAGCCTCAGTTTCCACATCTGTAAAAGGAAATAAAGGTAGTACTTACCTAGTCCCATATGGGTGGCGCATGCCTGTCATCCCATCGGCTCAGGAAGCCGAGGCCGGAGGATCACAAGCTCAAAGCCAGCCTCAGACATTTAGCAAGGTCCTAAGCCACTTAGCAAGACCCTGTCTTAAACTAAAAAATAAAAGAGGTTAGGGTTGTGGCTCAGTGTTTAAGCACCTCTGGGTCCAATCCCTAATACCCAAACACAAACAGACAACAAATACAATTCCTACCTTATGGGCTCGTTGTGACTTAGGGTTGGTTTGTGAGCATGCGCCTCTAGCGCAGCACCTGGCACAGTAAGGCTGAAGCCTGGCTGTGTGATACCAGGTGGTGACTATCCGTTTGTGATGAGGACATCTTTGGAGGCTTTAGGAATGGCCTGACTGGTTTCTAACCCTGACTGTGTTCTGAATTAGCTCTGTGACCTAGTAGAGTCTGAGCCTCAGTGTCTTCACTTACACAATGGAGAGGGAGAACCTGGCTTCTTGGGGTTGGTAGACAATCCAGTGAAAAAATGCACAGTTGAGAGCTAGGGTGGTAGGTGGGGGAGCATCTTTGGCTTTTTGGAGGGGGGTTGGAAACTGGGAAGGGGAGTAGTCTGACCTGAGTGAGCGGTGGAGATTCCTGGAGTGGGCGGGGCTCACTGCCCCAGGCTAGGAAAGCCCTGACTGGTCCTGTGTCATTTCAACAGCTCATTCATTTGGCCTTGTGAAGGAAACTTTTAGGGGGAGTCAAGAATTGGGTGGGACTGGAGAAAGGCCTAAGTTTGGGAGAGGGGACTAAAAAAAACTGGGCTTTGGAATCAGACATCTTGCATTGGAGTCTGGGCTCCTATGCTGCTCAGGCTAAAAGAGTCTGGGCAAGACGCTGAACCCACGTTCCTTTTCACAAAGTGGGGAACACACACCTTCGCTACAGAAGGCTGATGGAGGATTAAATGATCTCATGGTGGCAGCGAGGTTGGCATCGCGTCTGGCACATGGCCATCGCTCTATACATGGTAGCATAATAGGGTGAGTTATTAGCAAAAGGAATGAAGTTATGTTGGCTTCTCTTGTCCCGACCGACGCGTCAGGAAAGAGAGGACTTGCTTTGTGTTCCTGAAACTCTGGGATGTCTTTTTACCTGAGTTCTGGCATCAAGAAGGGTTGAGCTGGGGCGATCCTTCGGGAAAGGGCGGGCTGTCCTGGGGCTGAAGGAGGAACATGGAACAACTGAGGGAGGAGGAAGGCTGTGGGGAGCTTGCTCAGAGACTGGGATGGATGGGGTTTCAGGCCTTGGAGTGATACCACCTTAATGGAGGGGGGCTTTATGATATCCCTAGGGATGCTGGGCAATGAGCCTCCTATTCAATGGGGCATGGAATCTGGGGAGTGGTCTACCTTTGAGAACTCATATGAGCCTGGACAGAGAGAAAAACATAGCAATAATCACCAGTGGGGACCAAAGCCTAGAACACTCTGGGCGGTACAGGAATCCCATGCTTTCTAGGTGGTGCCGTATGAAAGTCTTCACTCTCCAAGGAGGTCTGCTTTAGAGAAATAGGGGAAGGTGAGATTTCTGAGACCTGAGTGTGGTGGGGTGGGCTTGAGTGTGCTTGAGTGTTGCCATTGCTGTTTGAAGGGATACACAGGAAGTGTGGACTTCAGGGCAAAGATGGCGCCACAGGCCACCTGGCTGGAAGCAGGCTCTGAACTGGGAGGGGAGGAAGTCAGACAGTGGGCTTAGGGTGGTGGCCTCCTCCTGTACACTCAAGCCCGAGAGGAAGAGGGCAGACATGGCAGCTGTCCTGGTATCTCACATGGACTCCCCTCTCCTCTGGGGTTCCCATCTCCATAATCCAGTTGGACAGGGTAGAGCCAACATTTGAGTCCTGCTTGTGATTAGCGCTCTTGTCCATAGGGCCTGCAGGCTGCCCATCCAACTCAGGATCTGGGCCCTGTCTGGCCATCCAAATAAGACAAGAAAAGTGACTCGATAGCACCGCCTAGTGGAGGCAGGAGGGCTTGCTACAGAGTCCCAGGGGGTCAGATGACTCCTCTGGCTCCATATCCTTCTAATGTAATCTGGGAGGAGAGATGTCTCTCTACCTTGGCAGAAGGCAGAGTAGGGCAGTGCTAAGAGAGCCGCTGAGATCATTCCCACAACCTCGTCATCTTCAGGAGACTGGCCTGCTCCAAGTCACATACACCGAAAGTGACCAAGTCACCATGATCCTCCAATATTTCTGTATCTTCCACGGCCCTCATCTGGCATAGGTCCTTGATCTTAATGGAGGTCCAACAGAGGAATGGAGTAATAATAAGCAAGACCGCGAGAACCCAAGTCCATCCAGATGGTCCAAGGGGAAGTCAGAGTAGATAGGAAAATGTCCCACTGGGTGCTGGACCCAGGCCAGCAGTTTATCAATAGTAGATATTCTAAGCCTCATGACAACCTCATGAGATCGGAACTCTTTTTTTGTTCCAAAATCCTTGGCTTGATCTAACCCATTGCCCTTTAGCCACATTGGGCTTCTGCCCTTGCGGTCTCATAGCTCCTTCCCACCTCAGGACATTTGCATATACTTTTGCCCTCCCCTCCTCTCTTTTTCTTTCTTCTGGGTCACTCCTACTCAAGTGACCCTCAAGAAGACTGTCTCTGATCCCCCCAAACCATGCCACATCCCTTATAATGTGTGCCCCAATTTTCCATTAATAGTGCTCACGTCAGGTTTGAATTGGACAATTATTTGGTAGGGAGATCTTTTGTCCTGTAACTGTCCAAGAAGGTGGGGGGAATTCTTCACCACTTTTTCCTCCACTCTCAGTACAGTGCCTGGTACAGAGTTGAAGCTGGATAAAGGATGAATCCAGTGAGAAAACTGGTTCAGAGAGGGGAAGCCACTTTCTCCAAATCAGTGGAGGAATCTGGTTTTAGACTCAGGCCACTTTGGTCTGGTGGGGGGTCTCTCTAGGTGGGGTGGTGGCAGGTGACTATTGTATGAGAAAGAATCAGCGTTGACAGACAGGTAAGTGCAGACACTTCCAGCCCGGCGCCAGTGGGCCCAAGCACCAGGAGAGGAGCCATGACTCATGCCCATGCTCGTCTCGTGATGACTCAGGGCCTTTCCTGGGCTCCACCTGGAGCTCAGTGACAGACGGTGGTGGGGAGCAAGTGTGTGTGCATGCACAGAGAGGGGGGCAGGTGGATACGGGCAAGGAGCTGGGCTTCCATGGAAGGAGCAAGCCTATTCTTGTTCTTCCTCCAAGTCCCCATACCCTCAAAGGAGGATCCTTGCAGATGCCATCAATGTTTGGTTCCCTCTCTGGCCTTCTGTCTGCCTCTCTGGGTCCTCACAGTCCCTCATCTCTGCTCCACACACCTTCTGGGGGCTGCAGCTGTCCTTGGGGTGCTGACACTGTGGTCCCAAGCTGCAGTCTTGCACCTGAGCTGCAGAGAGCAGTGCTCATTCTCAATGGGACTCAGATGCCAGGGGCCCCCGAGTTATGTGGGCTCCATCCCTTGTTCACTCTTTGAAGGGTTCACCCAGGAGGTGGGGCTTGGAGGGCAGATCTTGAACCCTGGGAGGATAGAAAGCATGAGCCATGTCACAGGGTCACTCATGGGGTAAGGCTGTGGGCCTGCTCATCTCAGGCCCCACGTTGCCCAGTCCGTTCCCCATGCTAGCAGAGAAGGGAAAAGATGGTACCAAATTGCAACAGCAGCAGGAGCTCCTACCTGGACTGTAGATGAGATCCGGCATGGCCTGTTTGTCTTTGTATTGGAGGCTGAGGTTGAGGTTCGGGGGGGTGGGGATGGGGATGGATGTGGGAGTGGGGCGGGTGGGGGTAGGAGGAGGAGGAGGAGGAGGATGTGGTGAGGTTGCCGGCTCATGGGTAGTAGTGGGGCTTTATCTAGAGACTCCTCCACCCCACCTGCAGTATATTTATGCCCACTGGCAGCTCACCAGAAAGGGCCTTCCCCATGAGGAAACAGAGGCCAAGACCATGGGAGGTAGGGAGTGGGCACTGGCAGGTGGTACCTCTCTGGCAGGGGAGATGCTGCTTTCTCCACTTCCCCATGGGAAGGACCAGGCAGCGAGGGCAGAGGCCCTGGGGCCAACATGCAGGGATAGCCCAATGTGGAGGAAAGGCCTGTGCCTTCTAGTGCTCACAGGAGGGAGGGCAGTGACTCAGGACCCCTCAATCCAGGCAGAGAATTGGCCAGATAGGTTCAACCTTCAGGGAGGGCCAGATTGGACGGCTGAGCTGGAGTAGATGGACGGTCAAGTCCTCCCTGACTGGCCCCTGGTGGTGGGGGTGGGACAGGGCCAGCTGCTGTGGTCCCCATGAGCATCTCAACCTCTTGGGCAGCTGGGGTGGGATTCTGAGGGCAGAGCCTGCTGCCTTGGCTGAGTGAGGCTCGAGGGTAGGGCTGGAGGGTGGGAAGTAGAGGGGGCAACTGGGACATTGGTTGGTTTGGCACGAGGGCTGGAAACGGGCCATCTGTCACCAGAGCCATCTGGGCAGCAGTGTCCCAGCTTGGAGCTTCCGGTCAGTCAGGCAGGATGCCCCCAAAGAATGCACTTCACTAGAACAGAGTGGAGTTGCTGAAGCACGGCCCTGCGGGCTGTCCTCCAGCTGCCAACCTCTGCTCAGTCCCCAGGGCCTGGGGTTTACATCCCAATTAGTGAGGGCATCAGCACGGGAAGGGCCAAGGGGGTAGGAAAGCAGCAGAAGGGGATCCAGGCCCAGGTCCCAGCAGGGTGGGGATTTTCCAGGCCTCAGACCACGTTGCAGGAAGATCTTGGGCTTCCCAGTGGAGCCTGACTGGAACCTGGAGAAAGGTGTAGAAAGTAGTCGGGACCTGCTGTGATGCAGCACACCTGGAATCCCAGCTCCTTGAGAGGCTCAGACAGGGGGATCCCAAGTTCAAGGCCAGCCTCAGCAACATCGTGAGACCCTGTCTCAGAATAAAAAATTAAAAGAAGACTGAGGATTCATGAGTGTGTAGCTCAGTGGTGGAGTGACCCTGGGTTCAATCCCCAATACTGAGGGTGGCGGGAAGGAAGTAGAAAGGGAATCTATGCGCTCCCCCCTAATCTTGGTCTATGAGTTTCCCACACATTAGGCGTTCCCCAATTCACGTATGGATTATGCCTATATATTCTCTATTCTTCCTACTTACCTTTTTTATTTCTCAGTTAACGAATTTTGTATCTCCCATTTACATACTTGTTGAACACATTTTGGTAAATTAGTTCAACTTTAATTTCAGCAAATACATTTATAAAGGAAACCCTCCTCGTCTGTCTGGTTTTGAGCTCTCTTTCAGCTCCCAGCATCTCTCTGGAACAATCAGTTATCCTTCCTTCATCCCATATATGTTGGGATCCTACTTGGACCAGACATGGTGTTAGACACTGGGGTAAGTTCAAGATGAGCAGGCACAGGCTGAAGGGAGCCCTGCCCTTCCGGGGGAGGTGCCATGGGGACATAGTATGAAAGACAAAGTGACCCAGAGTGGGAGAGGCCAGGAAGCCTTCATGGAGGAGGAGGCACACAAAGGGGTGGTTGAAGGTGAACTGGAGTTGTAGTTTGCATTTTTTTCTTTCATTTTTACATTTTTAAAATTTGCTCTAACTAGTTACACATGACAGTAGAATGCACTTTGGCACATTATACATAAATGGAGTATGAAGTAAAATCAAGAATCAATAAATGCGATGGATTCAAACGAAAAATCTTCCCAGCAAAGGAAACAATCAATAATGTGAAGAGAGAGCCTACAGAATGGGACGTGCACCTCAGAGAGAGCATTCATTTCCAGGGTATATGAAGAGCTCAAAAACTTAACACCAAAAAAGAAAAAAAAAATCAATTAACTCAATGAATAAATGGGCCAAGGAACTGAACAGAGCTTCACAGAAGAACAAATACAATTGATCAACAAATATATGAAAAAATGTTCAATATCTCTAGCAATTAGAGAAGTGCAAATCAGAACTACTCTGAGATTTCATCTCATTCCATTGCAACAAACAATCAAGCATACAAGCAACAATAAGTGTTGGTGAGGATC